TTTTTTTTAACATTGATATGAAGCTTAGGATCAGGGCCTTGTTGTCGGTATGTAAGAATTTTTTAAAACTCTGAATTTAAATATCGCAAGAACCAGAAGTTTTAAAACGGTTTTTGTTTGTATTTGTTTTTGGCATTAATAGTAATTAGCAAGTCCCGGGTCCTTAGTCGCTATCTCGGAAAGACAATCTTGGTTTTCATTCATTTTTTGGTTATTTAATTAACGTTATTCAGGTTACCCGATTTTTAATTGTATTACATAACGAAGTTTTCGACATTTACAATGGTTTTTTTTTGGAACAATTAAAAATTTTAATATTTTTTCTTTTATAATTAAAAATCTTTGTTTAGTTTTTAAGATAAAACATTACGGCATCTAGGGTGATTATCGCAGGGTCAGTTCACAAACAGGCGGCCTCTGTTTGCGGGAAACAGTTATTTAATATTTCCTTATATGAAATTTAAACGCTTTAAAACTATTATTGCAGTTTGTTTACATCACACATTTTTCGACTTCCATATTTTGGACCTTTTATTAAATTTCACATAAAGCAATACTCGGTTATTACTCGCAACCGCACGAACACACAAATAAATAAACTACACGATGCACATCAAATGAACATCGTTCCTACAGTATTAACCACTTTCGCACCATGTGATCATCACTTATGAAATATTTTTCAATGTGCTCTTATATTTTTTATGCTGAAGTTTATTATTGATTTTTTCAGGACAGTTTTAAATTCTTCTAGAAATGCAACTGTCCCTCTTTACCGCAATTGTAGATGAAGGCAAGTATGTATGGTAGCAAGTTATATTAGTGAAGTTCACGTATATATATTGTTGTTTTGTGAAATAGAATAAGACAATTTACACGGACATACTGTCTGTAAAAGAAGAGTTACCAGGACTCATATATATTCCCACTCTGTAATGAATCATGTGTTTTTTCTTTTCAGGCAAGTTCAATTTCCTTAATTACACGCATTTGTTTGACCAGAATAAATGTTTGGGTTGTTATACATACATTGGGGTTCCTCTTTTATATCTTGTTGAATCAATTTCTTAAGCGGAATGATGTCACACTTATAAAATGATGTCAATTAACTTTAATTACAGGCTATTATGATATAAGCATTTTGCCGGCGGCATTTTGAAAATTGCTTTAAACCTTACTTTGCTTTTAATATGCAAAATCAAATTATATAAATATAAGAATTTAAATCGAACAACAAACAATGGTTTGACATTAGATGGCATGTGCATGCGAGCTTTTTATTTTATTAAATTAGTTTTCTTTTCTTAAACATATTACTGTTATCAAAAATTGTTATTTCTTTACAGTTTAATCACTCTTTAATGTGTTAATGATATGTGTTAGTATTCTTTTGCAGTGCAATAGTATTTTGGGGCAAAAATTAACTATAGTTTGAAACGTCTGGGGTTAAAATTATGCCTTTTCCCTATAAGTTTGCCCCCCCCAACTTGGGTTTAAAAGGTAAATATAGTACTTTAAAAAAAATGAAAAAGTTTAAAAGAAAATTTACAGCCCTTTATTTAAACTTTCAAAAAATGTACAAAATTTCCTTTCCTATTTAATTATAAAAACAATAAATTTTTTTGGGGAAAAAAAGGTTTCCCAAACCCGAGCCTAGCGTCTTGCAAATTTTATTTACCACAAAACCCTTCCCTTCCCGCATTACGTTTAGAGTTTTTGGGAAAAATTTTTTGGGGGTTTTTAAATTTTTATAGAGGGCCCGTTTGAAGATAACAAACACAATTTTGATATGGTTTTTTCACCCTGATAGTGGACTTGAAACCCCCTCGTATTAATTATCATATAAACACCAACCTAACTTGTGCGCCGTAGGAAAATATTTGCGTTGATTACGTAATGTTTTCAACGTGCGCACGCTTAATAAGTCGCATTTCGCATTGGGTTTAACTAAAATTTTTCCTTGTTTTTTATGCAATTGTCCACAATATATTTACGTATATTTTTATTATCTGAATTTGATTTATTATATAGTTATGTTAGGTAAAGGGAGGATTATTTTGATTTATTTCGTGAGTTATCACTTTTTTTTAGAATGGGACCACCACGGTAGCTTTCTTTGGTTCAACTATTACCTAGCTTTAAACAGTCTTAACAATTTAAAAAAATTTCTACCACTTTGTAATTGAAGGTATTTTCGTTGCTGAGATGTTTTTGAAACAATTTGAAATTGAAAACAAATTAAAATGCAAAATTTTTTAAGATTAACGTTTTAATATAAATGGAAGGGTTTACTGGGTATTCCGCCTTTTACTTAACGGTTCATTGTGCAAAACAAACGGATCTACATCTGAGATTTAAAAATATCTTTCTTTTTAATCCTTTTTTCAAAAACGAATTGATCCTACTAACTCGATGGCTAATTTAATTGTAAAACGTCAAAAGATTATGTCTGCACTTTTTCCAAATACAATTGCTTATTTTTTTTACATATATTTTTCATTTAAAAAACTCTTTACCATAGAGCCCAAAGATACCATTTCTTTATCTTTAAAGGTTGGTGAAATAAATATATTGTTTAAAGGGGTTTATAACAAAACATCTATTTAACTTTAATCCGTTTCATAGATTAAATCTTTCATTTAAATCCTGTGTAAATGGTTGCTTATAAAAATTCTTTTTCCTAATTAATATTTAATAATTTTGAAAATTTGGTTTAGGAAAAAAGTATAAATGTCTAGCTTTTAAAATGGTTGTTGTTGTTTTTTGAAAGTTGTGATAAAATATTTCTGCACTATTTTAAACGGATTTTAAAATCTCTTTTTCGATACCAAAATGCCGAAAGGGTTTTTTAATTTTAGATAACCCTTTCCTACGTCACGAAAAAGACACCGTCACATGGTTACGTAAATTCCTAAAAGATGATTAATATTTAAAATGTTTTTTTGAACTGTTTTTTGAAAAGCGAAATTTTTGTGAATTGGATTTTTAGTTTTTTAATTCTATTTTTTTTAAACTTTTTTAATTTAAACCCAATTTTTGCTATGGCCCCATTTTCTAAATATATTTTGAATGTTAAAGAAAAAATGTATGGAAAATTTTTTCAAAAAATTTTTTGGTGTATTTCCAAATGGTCATAAAAAACATTGTTAGATAAATAGAATCGAACTTCAAGTTGGTATAGGTTTTTTTCTTAGATTTAAAAGGTTTACGGCTTTGAAAATATTCGAAACATGTACATGTTAACTTCGATCTCTAAGAATTTCTGCAGTTGCGGATTTTCTCCATGTGATATGTTCTGACTCTGTTAATCGATCATACGGGTTATTCGCCGTTCCGTTGCAACGCTACATTATTTTGTCCCCTCTGGAATAAAGGCTTTGCCAACAATAATGGCTGTTGTTAGCGAAGAACATGTTTTTTTGTTAATATATTGTATAATATTGAATATATGTTTTGAATAATAAATATTTTTAAGAGTGACTCATTTTTTGGTTTTTTTACTTTATTATTTGAAATACTTTCCAATTTTTGAAGTAAAGTTCTTAAGCATTATGACTTTACCATTTCCCATTTTCAAAATGTTGTAAATAAAAACATGTTCCTATTGGCCAAGGTCTGCATTTCGGTCCATGTATACGTGTCACTTATATGTAATGCTGCTTTTGATTATTATCTTGTATCTTCTTTTATCAAGAAAATACAGTTCTGTATTCCCTCTTGACAACTAAAAAATGCAATTCGTATACCCCCTGTATATATTGAAATACGATTCCGTATTTCCCCTGTATATGTAGAAAATACGACTCCGTATATTTTCTGTTATGTAGAAAAATACGGATTCCGTATATCATCTGTATATGTGGAAAATACGAGTTCCGTATATCCTCTGTATATTGTAGATATACGGTTCCGTATATCCTCTGTATTACGTAAGAAATACGAGTCCGTATATCCTCTGTTATACGTAGAAAATACGGTCCCGTATATCCTTTGGTTATATTTATAGTATACTAGGGGATTAACAACCTTAATATAGTCCGGTATACGGGATTTTTATTCTCCGTATACTTCAAAAAGTTCGAACAAATATTATATGTTATATGGGGCAAATCCGGAATTTCCGTATTGGCCTGATGCATATTACGGACTTCCCGTTATACCCGGTGGCTGTTCCCTATACGGGACTCCGTTTATACTTTGGTCCGTATATTCGACGATATCCGGGTACACCCCGTATATTTCAAAAATACGGGACCGTATTATTCCGTTATATCAGTATATTTTTCGCAGTGATAGCATATTACATATAGCCTAACGAGGAACCACAATCACATAATTAGAAAATACTACCAGGTTACAGGACATATCCGTAGATGTTAAAACATATGACGCACATACGATAGTGACATGTGTAAACTAAATAATGTGATACATATGAATTCACAGTAACTGCACGCAAGCCAAAGGACCTATAAGTCACCCAGTTACCTTATATTGACAAATAACAAAGAGTCTCCATTAGTGTATGAGAAATAATTTAATTATTACTGCGCAAATGAAATGATAGTTTTTGTAAATTCATATTATATAATTTTAAACTAGTATATATCTTCATCAATAAATCATATTGATATTGTTCTTCCTTTCTTACGTTACTATGCCATTTGATTAGTACTTATATGGTATTAAATTGGCGATATAACGCCTTCTGATTTGCATTATTACGACTTTTGATTCGCGTTACTATGCCTTTTTTATTTTATTTGATACTATTAGGCTTTTGTATGTATGTCATCAAGTTCATAGTTTGCAATTGGCAAAATCTGACGGAAGATTTTTCTAACCTTTCATTTTATTGTCACCGTGTCAACGTTTTATTGGTACCATTTTGGTATATAAATGATTTTGACCAAAAAGATAAAAATATTTATTTTTTGGGTTAGGTATACTAAACAGACTTTTACTAGTTTTGTCACACGTGTCTTAAATATTTGTTATAGGGTCTCGGTGTGAACAAGATATAAACGAGTGTTCTGAATCCCCGTGCAAAAACAACGGCACCTGTAATAATTATATCGGGGGTTTCAATTGCGCGTGCGCCGTGCAATGGACAGGACTGGATTGCACTGAAGAAGTTGATTTTTGTGAAGATAACCTTTGTCAAAATTCAGCATGTGTTGCTTTCGGAACAACTTATTCTTGTTCCTGTAACAGTGGTTGGACAGGAAAATTTTGCGACGTCAATATTGATGAATGTCAGAATAACCCGTGCCAGAATAATGCCACGTGTGTTGATAATGCTGGAAGCTTTATTTGCACGTGCATAGAAGGATTCCATGGTTTGTAACGATTATTATTCATCTTGACATCATGTTTTCATGCGAAAAGCCAGCCTTATTTGTAAAATTAAATGTACTCATTTTCTTTAAACATTTTTATACATGATTAGTCATTTTCAACCATGTATCGTATGATAATTCTACAGTCATATCATTTTCTATTTCCGATCTTCTGTTATATGATATATACATATACATGTATTTATTTGAAGATGGTCTTATACTTAAGTATCAATCATACATCACACGACAACAACACTACGGTACTTGACCTTGACACAGATTAATGAATTGTTTATATTTTAGGACGTTATTGCGAGACAAACAAGGATGAGTGTTCCAGTTTTCCTTGTATGAACAATGGAACATGCACTGACCTTATCAATGACTTTCAGTGCCAATGTTCAAGTGGGTTTACTGGTTCTTTGTGCCAAAATGACGTCGACGAGTGCACGAGTTCTCCATGCAAGCACGGATCAACGTGTGAAAACCACGATGGCGGTTTTAACTGCCGTTGTGTAAATGGAACCGTCGGAGATTTGTGCGAAGGAAATATTAACGAATGTGAAAGTAATGGTTGCCAGAATGGCGGAACATGCATAGATCGTATTGGAATGTTTGAATGCGCATGCGACGATGAATTTACTGGTAAATTATGTGAAAAAGCTAATCCGACAGAGACTCACTGGTACGCAATTGGGATTATAATAGCAGCTGTTGTTGTTTTTGCAGCTGTTCTTGTAATCTTACGAACTGTAAAACATTACAGGAAATCAAGGTAAATAGTTAATAAAATCAAATGATTTAGTTTGTTTGATTTTAAGTCCAGCCGACAATGTAAAGGTCATATGGTGACTTTCGAGCTTTACATGTTGAAAAAGACTTCAGGTACACCTTTTTACATCATTTCAGGCACAAGCGGGCACCTGGGTTGGTCCAACGACCTACCGGAAAGGTAGCTAGTCGTTGGTAACTGTTGATTTAAAGAAAAGGCATATTTTCAACGGACAACCATTGGTTTAAACAGATTTATTTAAGCTCGATTGCGAAACAAGTTCTTGCAACTTATATTAATCACTTTCGAGTCCGCTTCCTGGAACCAACCAGTACTTGTGTCATATGAAGAAACATGGTCGTATCCCGAGTAGGGCTCGAACCCATGATCTCTGGGTTGAAAGGCAGACACCTTAACCACTAGGCCACCACTACCCTTGACAACAGACAACCATTGATCATGGTATGGTATCTGACACTGGCCAAGTTCACTGTCCATTGTGAATAATTGCAGTGACTGCAGAACTAAATTTATGTAAATCACGAGATAAATATAATATAAAATGAAAAATAAGGCAAAAAATGGCAACAAAATTTTCTGGTAGCAATGTTGTTGTTTTATTTCATTACCGAATTTTAATTTGATGTCAGAGAAAGCAGTTATACCTTGTAATTTTTTAATCTCAATGAGATTTAATCTTTTCAGAAATTACTGCATATTTCACTGCCATATAAATCTGATTTTATCTAAGCAGTTATATAAATTACTTTACTTTAAATTACATTTATACTGTCATGTTAATCAAAGTGTTGTAATAACAAAACCCTTATTATCATAATTATATGAAAATGTTCTGAGTAAATAGGCTGTTTTACTGTTTTGTTATTACAGGACGACATTTGGATCGGCACAAAGCAGGGCTACACAAGGAGATAGGAATTTTGATGGATTTGGTAATGTAAATGTTGTATATGATTACGCACAATCTCCGTGCGTTGAATCAACAGAGTACAAGCTAGCATCAGATGACGCACAACCTCCGTGTGTTAAAACAAAAGAGTACAAGCTAGCCTCAGATGACACAGAAAATATATATAGCAAAATAGACTGAGAGGACTTCCATTAACAAATCAGCAAATTTAGCAAAAGAGAAAAAAAGAGAAAAGAAAATCAATCAAATGCACAATCAAACAAAATATTATATAAACAAAAAAACAAAAACAAAAAACAACAAAAAAAAACATTTTAGCAATGCACATATGATCCGAAAATTGGTGAATGTACACGTATGAATAATCAATTGTAATGAATAATTGGTACATTGGTACATGTATATCTAAATGAATGTCATTATCAGTTGGTAAATATACATGTATCTATAATCAAAAGCCAAAATTAATTGGTACACATACATGTATATGTATGTATATGTCATGACTAATTGGTACATATACATGTTTATGTAAGTAAATGCCATTTTAATTGGTACATATATATGTACATATAAGTAAAAATAATAATTATTAATTGGTACATAAACATGATTATATAATCAAATTCAAATATCAAATGGTACATATACATGTATATATAATGAAATGGCATTATCAATTGGTACATACACATGTTTATATTAGAAAATGGTACATCAACATGTATATATTAGAAAATATCATTAATAGTTGGTACATACACATGTTTATATTAGCAAATGTCGTTAACCATTTTGGTGTGAAAAACTGAACCTGTATATGTAAGCAACTGTCATAAATGATCGATACGTATACACGTATATATAAGCAAATAGCATTAAGAATTGGTACATATAAAATGTACACATAAGCATGTCATTAATCATTTTAGTATGTAAAAACTGAACCTGTTGTCAAAATAATATACATGAGCTTTTATATATTTATCTTGTTTACGAATTATTTAGTACATCCTGTATTTATGAAATGAAATCGCTTGTCAACAATTTAACCATTACTTTACCCTACTGGAACCGAAAGTGATTTGTCTTTGCCAACAGTATTCTTAGAGGCAGACAAAACGGTCCGACCTTGTAGCTGACCCAAACTTGATATCCTTTAAATCTAAAATTACAGTTCAAAAATGGAAGCCAAACATTAGTCCATTTAACAAACTTCCGATTAAAAAGTATTTGGTTGATTGAAAAGTTTGGTGCCATGGAATAGCCTAAAAATGTGTTTCCTGGCATCATAGTAGCATGTCATAAAAACAACAACATTGGCTGTGATTTCGTAATGACTTACATGAAACTAGTACCTGAACTGATGTTAAGCTCGCTAACCACACAACTTTCTAAGTTAAAAGTTTAAAAAACAAAACAAACCAACGAAATTTGCACGGACAGACAACGCCAAAACAATATCCCCCTCCCGATTCCATCGGCGGGGTATATTAAACACGGCCTAATTTGTGAAATTTATTTGATCTGCTTTGCGTCTGGAACAGTCCGTTTGAAGTTAATACAATTACAGAAATTAAGCAAACAAAAGCATGGAGCTTGGTCAGACAGCTGGCCTGGCTCTATACTTTTGATGGCAAAGACAGGTCACTTGCGGCTACACCAGGTTAAGGGTTGATATAAAGGTAGAAACTTACCTTTCTTTAAGTTACACATGTACATTATAATATTTGTAGATAGAAGATTTGAAGGTTTTTAATTGTATATACTTGTGAATGTACATTTAAAGAAGAAACTTTTTTGTTTTCATAATGTGTATTAAGATTAATTTAAAATTTTTTTTTAATTTTCATATAAACAGAATTTTTAAAGCTTTAATATATTTACGATGATGATGATAATGATGATAATCATCCTCATCCTCCTCCTTATCATCATCATCATCATAATCATACTACTACTATTACTGCTGCTGCCACTACCACCACTACTACTACTACAATTATTATCATTATTATTATTATTATTGTTATTGATCATATGATAAAATTTGAGAATCAGAATTCTTTTTGGTTAGTTTAAACTACATGATAAATTATTCTGAAATTTTAAGTACTAGATAGCATATTTTCAACTCACACTAATCTTATTATTTTATGTGCTTTATCGTTCTTAAATATTTCTCAATCTAAGTGTTATCATTTAGGTTTCCGTTCTTCCAGTTATCATAAAAATATTTGGTTTATTTTATTTGATATGGTATTACAATAAAAATTTCTTTTCCTATTCACATACAAAATATGTATTTTCACAGATCATTAAACATTCCTCACACTATAATTTGATCATGTATTATATTTTTCTTTGGATAATTAGTCACCTATTTTATGTTTCTCACCAAATGTTTAGAATAATTGTTTTCATAATCATTGTGTCTTATAGGACCATTTTTACAGAATGCATGCTGATTTTAATTCATTATATATACAACCATAGTTTTATATCTTAACATATTACGCATTGATAAAATGTTTACTTACTTACTTACTTACTTACTTACTTGTTTCGTTACAGATACAATGACATGACGATCTCATATAATAGATCACATTATCAGTGTTCTTTTATATGTAGGCTGTCTAAGCCTATGATTGCATTTATCAGAATCTTTAAGCTATCCTTTGTGTCAGCCTGTCTAAGTTTCTGTATTTGTCAGATTATAAATTATCTTCCTTTTGTCAGACTGTCTAAGTCTCTGTATTTGTCATGTTATCAAAGGTCTCCCTTGTGTCAGACTGTCTAAGCCTCTGTGTTTTTCAGATTATCAATTATCTTCCATTTGTCAGATTATCTAAACCTCTGTATTTGTCCGGTTATCTTAGCTCTCTCTTGTCAAACCTGTCTAAGCCTCTGTATTTGTCAGATTATCTTAGCTCTCTCTTCTCAAACTGTCTAAGCCTCTGTATTTGTTCGGTTATCTTAACTCTCTCTTGTCAAACTGTCTAAGCCTCTGTATTTGTCCGATTATCTTAACTCTCTCCTGTCAAACTGTCTAAGCCTCTGTATTTGTTCGGTTATCTTAGCTCTCTCTTGTCAAACTGTCTAAGCCTCTATAATTGACATGTTATCAAAGCTCCCCGAGTGTCAGTCTGTTCAAATCTCCGTATTTGTCTGATTTACAAAGCTCTTCCTTTTGCCAGACTTCTAAGGCTTTGTATTTGTCAGATTATCAAAGCTGTCGTTTTATCAAACTATCTAAACCTCTGATTTCTTTTATCAGATTATTAAAGCTCTTGTTTGTATTAGACTAAGCCTCCGCTGTATCAGACTATCTAAGCCACAGGTTGTATGTATCAGATTGTCAAATCTCTTACTTGTGTTAGATATTCAATCATTTCATGTTATATTATTAAGGTTTGTTATCTTTGTACATAAAATGATAATACTGGGATCCTACATATTACCTTAAAACATTTTATGTTTTTTCGCTGTAACTTTTACATGTATTTAAAATAATGAAAAAGAATGGAATTTTACCCAAAAAATTATGGGTTCTTAATACACGTAAATATTCCTTTATCAAATATGAAATTAAACATTGACCGTAGAAATGTGTTTTTAAAGTAGGGCATTATAGCAGGAAAAAATCGTGAAGACAACTCAATTTACCGGACATTGTGTTTCAAAAAAATTTGAGGTCGTGAATTGAAATTAATCTTTAAATAATCAGCAAGGAAACTACGACTATTGAATGGCAAGGTTAAGATATCGGAAAAACCAAGTATGGCAGTATTAACTCAATTAACGTATTGATTCTTCATAATCCTAAAAGTATGAAACATTTTGATATTCAAATGGAATTCTGTTCTTTGTCATACAGTTTCCTTTGGTCATCATGTAGCATGTTGCAAAAGCAATAAAATCTACTTAATTTACAAATGTACATTTCATGTAGAATGTCCTCCCATGGGCGTTACCCGTTTCCTTATATGTTTTTTTTTAATTTTGCATTTCTTTGTAACAGACAACAATGAGATACTGTTTGAACTAAATTTAAAATTACTTTTTATCATTAAAATATGTTACGATTGTCTTATGCGATAACATTGAGAAGACATAGTAGTAAAACCTATCTAAAATAACCCATTAAGGGCCTCAATATTCGGGCATTCCAAGAACAGATTATTCCCCGGCATGACCAGGTCATGAAATAACTAGTAAACAAAAGGGTATGTTAGTAAATAAAGAACTGAATCAACAATATTTACTTGAGAGTGGTTTTGTTGTTATTTACTTTGAAATAGAAAGCGTGTGTACGATTCAGACCGGGTGATTTTTTAATCGAAGCAAAAAATAAAGACTCATTTGACAAGAATAGATTTTGTCCGGTAAAGTGATTGTCCGGTAAACATGAAGGATCCCAGTAAAGTTTTTTTCTGACAGCAACTGTATATACATTTTGAATCAATAACTTTTCATGTAAATAGCTTATATGTTTGAATAAATAAAAATATATACTTTAAAAATGAATGTTTTGTAATACATTGCTTAAGTAATGTAACTGACTCAACCTTTTAACATGCATCAATTTGCGCGTTCGTCACATCTGTCTGTGCACAGTCACCATATACGGCAAAGCTCCAGAAGGAGAAGAAGAACCTGGCTTAAATTCAGAGCAGTTCATTTATGTTTTGAGAGATTTTAATATCAAACTATTAATTAGAGCAGCCGACTGCATTAATTCTCTTCAGACTGTCCTTCTTCCGTACTGATGACATAGAGTTGTTCATCTCTAAACCTGCTGGCGACAACAGATTCTATACATGCGACCAGTTCAACCCACATATAACTGGTCTACTCTAGATATTCAGTCAGGTCAAACATTTTGGTTTTGAATTTTGTCTAAAATGATGAATGGTTTTGCCAAGATTGAAATATCAGTATATTTAAGATATTTACCATGGTAAGGGATCTATACACTAAACATATCCTATAACTGTGCATGTATTAAATGACTCATATGTGTGTCAATTGTGGTACTATCATGCTCCAATTGTCAATAAATACAGTTGAGAAACATGGTATGATATTCCATTTATTGAATTTCATAAGAAACACATATTTAATTTATGTATTGTCCATGTCAAGCAAATATAACTGGCAAGACGAACTTGTTTGGTATGAGATAAAACACAACACTTAGGTTGAATGAAATAGGGCATTTATTAAATGCCATAAATGACAAATGTTACATAATAACAAACATGAACAAATGTTACATAATAAACAAACATGGCATGTACATATTTGTATCGAAATAACCAAACTGGGAGGTAAAAACCGCCAGATTATGATAGCATTGTAATGTAATTCAAATAGATTACAATCTTAACAAAAGTTATGGAAGATGACAAAGTTGAACCAAAAACCATCTACATAAATATAATAAAATGGATTGCTGATCAAAAACAATTGACCAGAAAAAATAAATATTTTCCAAATCGTGGTCGACTCGCCCAGGAAAAAAACCATAGTTTGGAAACCTGTGCCCTTTTATCTTGTGTCTAGTACCACTTGATGTAGGGCTCCATCCTTGGAAAATAGTTTAAACATTCTATACATTAAAAGGTGTATTACATATGACTAGATCATAAGTATTTATGACAAACAAATAGAAAAATATTTGAAAGAGATAATATAACATTGACTAGTTTTTATAAATCTTTGCATTAACAATATACATAATATTATATATATATATAGTGTATCTCATTGAATAGTTGCACAAATAATTGAGATAAACAATTAAGTGAAACAACTGATTCATTAAGAATAAATGAAATGGTATTTACATCAACATCAAAAATTGAAAGAGGAGGATGGAGTTGGAGGAGGTGGATTTTTAGTAAACAGAAAGGCGAGAATCATTCCTCGCCAAAATTATTTCTTTGTGATAGATCTAATGTATCATTGGTTAATTAACATCACATGATTTAAGTCTGATATCGATTGGCTAAGACGTACTTGGCTAAAACCTGACCCGTAACGGCTAAAACGTGACCCGTAATATTCTGTACAGTAATGAGTATAGGGACAGAACAATGACATAAATTATTTTATGTGGGCATTAAAATCTATTTTATGTATTGTCCATGTCAAGCAAATATAACTGGCAAGACGAACTTGTTTGGTATGAGATAAAAACACAACACTTAGGTTGAATGAAATAGGGCATTTATTAAATGCCATAAATGACAAATGTTACATTTAATAAACAAACATGACAAATGTTACATAATAACAAACATGGCATGTACATATTGTATCGAAATAACCAAACTGGGAGGTTAAAAACCGCCACAAAGGGAACCTTCCGCCACCCAGGGAGACTTGACTAGGGATGAGCTTGACCTGTAATAAGGATTGAAACAGAGGGCTAAATTTGCCGAAGTTACCCTTAATTTAATCAAGTCATGTTAGGACAAAAATGTTACGACAAATCATATTATCTAATGACAATATTATAATATGTGTAGAATTAATGTCTAACATTTAAATGGATCCTGACTTGTTCTTTAAATATATGTGGACTGCAGCCTTAAACTGTCAGGCACATATACAGGATATGCTATTGTAAACCAGAAACTGAGTTAATAGACCAAATAATAACCTGTGAAAATACTTATAACAATTACATTATATATGTATTATTGAGACATCCGACAGTATGCATTATCAGGACTGTTTCAACGTCTAAACTGATTGTAACAAATAGAGGTAGCATGAATCAAATTTATAGAAGTTTCAAAACTATGTGTAATGGAAAAATGTTACAAGATATACTAGTCATCAATGACAATGAAACTAGAAAAAATTCTTTTTTTAAATTAGAAATTAGGAATGGACTATTATTGTATCAGCAACCAGATATCCTTCAATGGTGAAAAGCCAAAAATTGCATGGCCATGGCTTCAAAGTTGCAGTCATCAAACTTAGCACAGGCCCCTAGCCTGTGAAACTTAGTTCATGAAGTGAAAAATATACAAAAATTTAGTTAAATAAAAATAGTAAAATATCTAATTAAACCTTATTTATGCATTTGACCTAAATACATGTGAGTCTGACGTGTCTAATGTTAATTTGTTCATTATATGATTGTTGCATGAAATATATAAATTAATGTATTAAGTAAGGATAAATAGAAAAAGTTTCTATACAGACTAGACTCTTCAAAAAAATTATAAAGTAACAAGACCTTTGAAACAAGATGTGATTGTAAACATTTCTACAATAATACATAAAAACCTTCAGTACAAATGTACTTATAACATTTACATAAATCCATTCAACTAGTGATATTAATATCATGCAGTAGCATGAACACAATCTGAAATTATATGTATAATAAATTATGAAAACCTGCAGCCTTGTACTGTCAGATTTATAAAACCTTTATGAAGCCAAATTGTGCATATCTGCCACAAGATATACATAAATAGGAATACCGTCATACACATTATTATGGCACGAAAGAAATAAACTTCGGCCTTGCACCGTCAGCAAGGAGAAAACTGCAGCCTTGAACTGTCAGTTATTTGAAAGATTGTAATGACACTCAGTTTGCAGTAATTCACTGTCTTTTTTTATAATATCTAAAGAACTGCTGCCTTATACCGACAGATCATAAATTACCAAATAAAAGTGGAAAACTGTGACCTACAGTATGACCAACGTACTGCAGCCTTGAACTGTCAGTAATTTGAAAGATTGTAATGGCACTCAGTTTTGCTGTAATTCACTGCTTTTTTCTATATATAAAGATCTGCTGCCTTTATACCGACAGATCTTAAATTACGAAAAATTAAAGTGTAAAACTTGTAACCTAGATTAATAAAAAACTTATGTATTTAAGACATGATGTGGAAATCTCCCGCGGCCTTTTTATAAAGGCTGTCGTTCCTGACTAGATTATTGGACATTTTTCTTGCGCGGGCTAGTAGGGTTAAAAAATTCCCATACATGATTAATTTGAAAAAGAACTTCTGGCATGATGTGACAATGTATCTATGTACAATTAAAATCCAATTTCATATCAAATTAAAGCATCAGCCGTGCAGAAATGGATAAAATAAACTAAGCCAAGCTGACAAGACAGTACATAATTTTGAGATTGAAACAAATTGCAAAGCATTTAAACTAAGCAATGCACACTATTAAAATTTATGAATGAAGGCAAATCGCGTCAAACTAAGCAATTGCCTAATACAGGCAATGGTATGCTGAAATAATATCAAGGCGTTGTGTAAACTAAGCCAAGCTGACCAGTACAGACAAACAATGGCAAAGTCGTGTCAACTAAGCAATGCCTAAATAACAGCAATGTATGCTGAAATAATATCAAGGCTTGTAAAAGCCAAAGCTGACCAGTACAGACAAACAAAAATGGCAAAGCGTGTCAAACTAAGCAATGCCTAATACAGCAATGGTATGCTGAAATAATAGCAAGGCGTGGTAAACTAAGCCAAGCCGACCAGTACAGACAAACAAATGGCAAAGCGTGTCAACTAAGCACATGCCTAATACAGCAATGGTATGCTGAAAATAATAGCAAGGCGTGTAAACTAAGCCAGCTGACCAGTACAGACAAACAAATGGCAAAGCGTGTCAACTAAGCAATGCCTAATACAGCAATGATATGCTGAAATAAATAGCAAGGCGTGTAAACTAAGCCAAGCTGACAAGTACAGACAAACAAATGGCAAAGCGTGTAAACTAAGCAATGTCCTAGTACAATAATGGTATGTTGAAAGAATAGCAAGGCATGTAACTAAACCAAAATGACAAGACAAGTACAGAATATCTACTTGAAGGGTGTACTGTTGTACGTTTTTTGAGAAGAAGCTATGATGTTGCCATGAATATAATTTTTTTTTCTTGCAAAATGAATATTTACCTTGGTTTATAAAAAGGTTGTAATTATTAGCTTAGCAAGCATAATGAATATTTAACTTGGTTTATAAAAGGTGTAATTATTAGCTCATCAATCTGAAATACCATTACTTCTTATGTTATTTCAACTGTCTCGGGCAATAAATATGAATTTCCTTGAAGCTGTGTAAAACATGTATGCCAACATCAGTTTATTCATTATCTGACTGCACCTTGAAACCTATGAAACATGTAATGAAAGGCTGCTAATGTTTACTGATGAAAGCATTGTCTTAGTCCAGGTCTGCTTGCACTATTAATTCAACGATAATGATTGCTCCCTCGACTTCTTGGTTTTTGCAGGATTTACTGGACATTCTTGGTATTTGGCTTTTTCCTTGTTGTGGACTCTGAATAACAGGTGTAAGGAGAATTTGTGGCCGTTTCATCTGAAAAAATATGAATTATTTTGTCATTAAGGTAGACTAAAATTATGAAATGTAATTGATTATTAAATTAATTCTGACTACATGGTGCGTGATTCATAAGCATAATTTCATGGCAAACATGGACTATAGACTAAACCATACATGTATTT